CTAGTATTAGGCTGTTGTGGCTCCCCTGTTTTTCATTAAGCTGAAACTAGGGTAACAAATTGGAGCAAGGTAACTTGGAGCTCTGTAAGTAGAATAAGTTAGTAAAGAACTCAGACTGTTCTGGCTTCCAACTTTGAAGCACTGGGGACACTCAGACTCAAGATGTGACTACTGTCATAGATCACAGGAGAGTTCTTTTGGCTGTGGATTGCTCTCCAGGGCCAAGCTATGCCTTTGATGTTTGGCTCCTGAGGTTCCCCTGTGGAATGCAGAACAGCTGTGACACTCTAGGGAGAGTTGCCACATACCTGCTCCAAAGATGAGGATGTTGTCATTCCTGTCTTAAGAGCTAGGCAGTGCATGTCTTCACCCACTACCAGTTGGTTTGTATCTTGCCCCTTTTTAGCAATGCCAGAGGAATGGTGAGGAAGGAAGTCTCTGTACATCCTGTTCCTTTCGCTACAGCCCTGTCCTGTCACTGAGAAAACATCATGTAGTCATTTATCTCAAACTACAGCTGTCACACAAAAGTACTGCAATACTGAACGCTTGAGTGAGACCAATTTGATCGAAAACAACTCTTTAAAAATATTTCATCCAGTCAATAAATATCATAGAAGTGGCTTGAATCACTTACCTGTGTTGCATAACTGCAGTAGACATAAAATTTGAAGAGAAACATTGTCCAGGACAGAATATTTTTTCTGTGGGAACCAACTTGGTTTTGGGGAGGACCAGCCCATTTGAAGTTAACTGGATGCCTACCACCACTTTCAGTAAAAATAGTAGGTTCACTTTCACAAAGGATATTTTATGTAGGTCACATGGTAATCACTCAGCAGAACTTGTTGAGTGGAAAAGCTAATTGCCTCACTGAAAATTGATCTAATTCTAGGACCAAAATAGAGAAGTGCTGGCTTTTTCCAGTTTTGTTCATTTTGAGTGCAGTGTCAGTTAGAGTCCACTGTGAAAAAGCAGAGGTCATTATAGAAAATAACATTTTCACAGTGATCTATTTGTGCTGGTTCTTAAACATTACATTTTTATTATTTTAATACAGTCTGAATAATTACATAATGTATCCAAATTAAAGCTCTTTGCTGAATGATTGCCTTAGTGAAAAGAAATTCCTGAATCCTTGTCTTGTTGTGGTGCCCTGTTTTAGTTAGCAGATTTGCTGATGGAGAAAGCAGCAGTTATGATAAAAGGGATTATATAAAAGAGCTCCTGCTGAGAGTCCATGGCAGCATACAGGGTGATACTGAACACTGTATTCCCCAGGGCAGGTACAATAATTAGCTGCAGGAGTGGTACTCGGTCTGAGGGATTAATTAGAACTGGAGGTGGTGTTGGGGAGGAGGTAAAGCAGCTCTAAAGTGTGTCAGGATCACTTTGGCCCAAAGCCTGTGTGATTTGATGTGAAATAGCAGCAGCTGGCTGTAACCTTAGGAAGTGCAAGTGAACAGCAGGTGGTAATTCCTGTCTCATTTACCATGTCTTCACAGGAACATGTAAGCTTGTGCAGCTTGGGTTTATTGGCAGGTCAGAAGGAAAATCCTAAGGACTGTGACATTTACTATACTAAGCAAATGCTATAGTCAAAATGGAGTGTACGCAGCATACTGTAAAACCAGTAATGCTGTTGCTTAATGTTGTTACACTTTCCATATGACAAGGTTATGATGACCTTATAGTATTGACCTCATGTAGACCAATGTACAGAGTTGAATGTACTGTGAAAAATCTAGGACTGCTGGTGAGAATTACATCTTTGAAGGTTTTGATGGATGTAACAGGAGAACTATTTCATCTAAGTAAAAAATAAGACAGAGGAAATGATATGATGTTCTGGCATCCTTTGATTTTCTCAGTAGCCATTGTATGGGGACAAGTAGGCTTTATCTACATTTCCAGGTAGGTGAGCAGGGCACTGCGTTATGTGGTCACATGCCTGTTAGCCTCCACCAAGCATCATGTTTTGCTTGGCATTTGGGCAAAAATTGCAGCCAGGCATGCAACAAATGTGCTAATTTAGAAATTGTAACCAGCTAGCATTTCAGGGTGAGCTTGAGTTGCTGTCAACAGAGGAATTTAGTGGACCAGTGGTCGCTGTTGATCACTGTAGTGTTTTGTATTCTGTGAGGGCCTCCCAGGGTGTAGAACAAGAGCCCTTCCTATGTTCAGTTCAAGAATCAAACCAAATAAAGAGAAAATTGAGTAACTTTGAATCCATCATTGAGAACAGCTCTAGATAGAGAAAAAATAAAACAGATCTAGGGGATATTTGCAGCTATATTTATAGCAGAGTGACAGGAAAGGAAGAGAACTCATTTTGTGGGAAGGGTAGCTCTTTTTATGCCTTTTTAGAAGATCATTGTGTGCCAACATTATCTTTCATGGATGCCAGAAGATGCTATGCCTTCTAAAGCCTCCTACGCATGTGAAAACTATGCACCCATTATAGTTTCTTTGCTGGGTTCCATTTAATATTCCTGTGTTTCTGGCTCTCTGCAAGTATGAGTGTTACATAGGGGGAGATTATCCAGGTCCAAGCTGGCATTGGATGTCTCTGACCGTTAGATCTGAGGTTATGCCTGCTTTGGGCAAAGGAAAGAAAGCTTTGTCCTACTTGGGAGCAAGCTGAGAGAAGTTACTAAGCTGCTGATGGAAGATGGTGGTGTCCCCTTTTGTCATGTGTTGTTTATATAGGCAGAAAACTGCAGTACTGATAGCTCCTATTGAGCTTGCCTGTGTGGTCTTGGGAAGTATTGAGAATGCTGGGGCTGGACTGTGAAGTTCTGTATGTAAATGTTTTTGTGTGGATCTACACAAAACTTTCAAATTTCATTTATTCGGGAGAAAAAAATTCTTTCATGGCAAACCAGTATGTTTTCCAATTAAACTCCGTTCTTAAATAATTCTCAGCTTTCCTTCACATTCAAGATAAAATGAATCAAACCTAATATGAGTTTTGAGTTTCCACTTTTTAAAACGTCAAATTGCAAATACACTACTATTAGAGGTAACTGAAAAGTACTGTGCTGTAATCCTAAAGGCTGATGAGTAAAAATGAGGTTGTTAAAAATTTTCTTTTTATCCTTTTTTTAAAATAAATTAGATTTAAAGTTTATTGCTTGCTCAGATATTAGTTCTTTTGTAGGTTTCTTGTTTGTACTCATTTCCATTACACGGGTATTGTAGTTTTATCTAAAAGAGGAATGGATCATGTGCACAGCAGGGCTAATGAGTCACAGATGTAAAGATTCTGGCACATTACCATCTAATAACTTCTTATATTCCATAATAAGATAAATGCAAATTTGATACATCTGTTTTCTAAATGATATATCATTCCAGTCTTAGCAGTGTCTCAGGAGTGAGTTTCTTTAAATGTTTGGATTTTTAGCCTTTTTTGGATTTGTTTGCTTTTTTATTTGTTTCTGAAGAAGAGATTTCAGGTCACCGGCCAATGCAGTTAGCCACGCCATGGTTTGTCAGAATGAAGTGGGAAGGCTGATAAAACTGCCACAGGTTTTATGGGATCCACTTACAGGGTCTCAGCTTCCTAGGCTCATGGGTGTATATCAGGAATAAAGCTCCTGAATGCAACTCAGAGGTGCTAGTGAAGGACATGTATGCATCAGAAACTTACTCTGCCTTTTCTTGTAAAGACCAGTGTAGTCTTTGTGATCCAGAGGATCTCTGATGTGATTGCATGTGGAGATGAATAGAGCACATATTTGCCATGTTAGAGTCTGCTGCAGCCGAGAGAACTGGCTGTTGCCTGTTGGTGCTTCCCACCAGGCTAGCTGAGCTACAAAGGGCTCGTGCACTGTGGCAATGTGGGTTGCCCCAGCAGAGCCTTCATGCAGGACTTCTTGGAAGCCACCTCCACTGGCAGCCAGAGCCAGGCGCAGCCTTCCCTTTTGGAGGTGCCAAGCTGCAACCCTGCAGCCATACACTCCAGGCCACACAGAGGGGCTGTGCCACCAGCTCCACATCATAGAGGTGACATGTGTGTGTGCATGCATGCAGGGAGCTTAGAGCTACCAGACATATTTTCTTCTGTGTTCCTCAGCTGGATGTCTCTCAGCCATTGAACATCCTCTGCTCCAGACAGTGTGCTAAAGGCAAAGAGAGGACTTGGGGTTTTCTTTCTTTAGGAGTTCACTGCTCAACTGTCTAAGGTTTCAGCTTTATCGGAAGGTCTAATTTGCACCCTGCAAGGCAGCACTAAGAAGGTGTTGAACTGAGAGCAAAATTCACCACTTGTATTGTCACAGCAGGCCACGATTACCACGCTCTTCTTTTTTATACTAGTACAGTACAAGTTCTGCACATGTTGATAGAGTAGGATATGAGAAACCATATGCAGCATACAGTGCTTGATGGGAAAAATTTTGCCCTGGATATGAAAACGCTGCTATGGAGGTCTTGAAAATCTTGACCTTGGCCATTCCGGACTACCCAAGATCTAGCAATAGATTGTTGTTCAGTGTTTATAATTGTGTATATACTACCAGTTTATGTGCTGAATGTCATATGTTAAACAGAATGTGAGGAGCAGGATGTTAATTATACAAAGTGCTTCAAAATCCACCCTCACTGCTGTCCAGTTCTGCAGCAATCCAGATTCAAAGCTTTCTACATAGCTCTCTTGAAGTGCTGTAGCACATTTTAATTGAAAATGGCTCAGTCATCTGCTGGCTGATAGTCTAACAACTGCCAGGTGATCGTAACTTTATTGTAAGTTTAAGGAAAGTCACCTATGTGGGACTGCTCCTTCTAAAATCTCTCGATATTCTTGTTGCAAAGTAACAACCTGCATCTGCAGTGTAGTGCAAACCTAACTGTTTCCCATATGACACAGAGGCTGTTTCCTGTCAGTAGGCAGTGTGGGGCATACTAAACATAGTGTTTGTTCTGTTTGTCTGTTAGTAAATTGTCTCTGTGATGTTTGTGTTGTGCTGTTTTGGTACCATGTTATGCTGTGTCCCTAGGGTCTGCCAGGCTTCCCCACAGTTGCTGCTCTGCACAGTAATCAGATCCTCACCGTCAAGGTTTGTGGCTGACACGTACCTGTTCAGTCAGGTCTCTCTGTATCAGCATAAAAGTGCACATGAATAATTGTTTTTACCATGGAATACCAACGAATCCTTATGGTGGACCTAAGTCAACCCTCACTGCCTTTGCATTGGTGTAAGTACTCCTGATGCAGAGCATGGGATCAGATCTATAACTGTGTATAGTGTTAGCCCTGGAAAGACCCATATTCCCCATGATCTTGGACAGTATTTTATTTTCAGTTGAGATTTTTCTATAGTTCTGCTTCCCTGAGGCATACAGGAGTGTGGAAAATGTCAGTGAACTCTGTACTGGTTACATGTAGAGTCAGCTATTTCTGTTAGATATCAGAGGTCTAATCTGTACATACAGATTTTTTCAAAGCGCATTTGCAAATTAATCAGGAAGGATTGAAGCAATCTGGTCAAGCTGGAACTCCAGTCATTAAAATGACATCATTCTTCATGGCACAATATGCTGGTTAGAAAATCTGACTGAAAGTTGAACTGGTGCTTTGTCTCTAGAAGCTTTGCTGAAAGAACAGCATAATAAAATACTGATTTTTAAAGCCCGGGTAATAAGAAAATTAATACATGTGAAGAATCCTCATAGGAAATCGGGGGAGAAAAATGTTATGCAGTTAACTGATTGTGTATGATTAATTCATGAAGTGCTATGTCCTGTACTTTAGAGGTAAATTTCTTCCAAAGAAAATGCACAGTTTCTGTCAGGCAGAAGCACCGGTTTATATTATTTTAGCTATTACAAATCTAATGAATATGTCTTTATTTCTTTCTCGGGCCTTCTGATGTCTATTCTTCAATTCTCTCATCTCTGATCTTCAACCTTTGACCTCACCTGCCTGATCAGATGGTGTTTCCTAAAATCAATCATGGGTTTCTCTCTGCTGATCAGCAGCTCATTAAACGCCGCCTCATTAAGGTAGTGCTTCATCTCACTGGAATCTGGTTCTTCTTTACATTCAGTTTACTCTTTGCTGTACCTTTTTGTCAGATGCCTTCTTATAGCAGGTTGTTCATTTGAAAATGTTTTGGAATGAAACAACTGTTAATGATACTAACAATTAAAAGGCTATGGGTAACTTTGCTAAGTGATCTGCATTTTAAAAAGTCAACTTTTTTTAGCAGTTTGCAGTGATGTGCTAGAAATTAAATAACTTGAGCAGCATTTCTTGGTGCCTTTTATTTCAAGGGAAAGGTAATGTGTTTTGGCAACTCTCTTGAAAATTGGCTTTTACAAATTAATAGGTAAAAATCATTACGAGAGTTATCTAATTGTCACTATAAAACAGCTCCCCCCAAAAAAGAGGAAAAATTATGTACAACTTTGTGGAAGACCAGTTATTTTCCAGGCTTATTTTTGAAATCTATCCATGCATCATGGATAGGCTTGGAAAATTGCAGTGCAAACTGTATATTCTCACATGTAACTTTTTTACCTCAGCTTTTTTATTATTATGCCAATCATGAAGCAAACAGCAGCTTATTGAAAACAGTTACTTTAATTGGAGAACTAGATGAGTAAAATATTGCTAGGCTATTCCAAATTTTGGCATATGTCCTGTGGTAGGAGAAGCAGTTTAGAATTTGAACCTTCTGTTCTGTGGCTGATTGCACTGGACAGATACAACCCCTTGGTCTTCAAGGCAAAGTGCAGTCTCTGCCATAAGCAGCAAAGAAGCCACTGTCTAGCTCATGGCAGCTTCTTCCAGCCTGTCATATGATCTTTCTGGGTAAATCAATGTTGTCTTGTGTGGTTGGTGCCTCTAAAGCAAACCTGTGATGAGTTTTTGTTGGTTTAGGGGGACCAAGGACAAGCTGGACCCCCTGGGCCTCCAGGGCCACCAGGACCCAGAGGTCCCCCAGGAGATACCGGCAAAGATGGTCCTCGTGGGATGCCTGGCATACCGGTGAGTTGGCCTGTTGCTGTCATGGTGTCCAAATTCCTCTCAAGTTTATGCCAGCTCAGTTTCAAAGATGTTTTCTGAGGTAAGATTGGCAAGTAAGACATGTGGAAGCTGAACCACAGGCGGATTTCATGGTGTACCTGAAGTCCCACACACAAAGAGCAAGTTTATAGCAGGGCCAAGAGTAACACATAGGTTCCTTGCCTCCCACTCCTGATGGTTTCCCTACACATTCTAAGGTTTCTTGGTTCCTCATTGATGTTTAATAGCTGTGTGAGGAGGGTCTACCTCTCTCCATAAGTACTAAATGTTCTTCAAGTTAAAGATGAATTTGAGATGTTGTGATGGGCTTGACTTCTTGCTTCCTAATGATTTAACCTCACAAATCATGGAATTAAAGTGATAAACTGCTAAATACTGCCAAAAATATGGTAAAGTTTGGAGTCACATTCTGCCATCTTTACACAAGTAGAACAGTACCATTTTATTTGGCTTATTCCCCATATTTCATTAGAACAACCGGCAGAATCCACTATATTGCTTATTGGGTTTTTCTGGGCACAGGAACAGACCTTTTTGACACTTTTTGACCGGATGATTAAACACTTTTAAAACAGATTCATAAACACATGACTTTTTTAGTAAAATATGAGTATGGTTTTGGTTTTATATTTTGTAGCCTCCTTAATATTCATTCTTTTGAAAGAAGTACCTCTCTTCATCATGAATGCCACTGTGTTATCAGTGTGGAGACAAAACCACAGACAGGAAGGGATTATGACAACTGAAATACCACATGTACAGATGCATACACCCCCCCCCCCCCCCCCATGATAGCCAAGAGGACACACAGGGAACTAGCAAGGTGAGGATCAGCACTGGAAGAAGAAAAAGCATAGCTTGTTATGTGGTGCCAGGACAGGAAGGCATAAAATTTCCCTGCAGGGCCTTTTTAGGTAAAACCAATAAAGAAAATATCAAGCACTCCTGTTCTAGCCCTATTCACGTTAAGTCATCTGAAATTGTGTTAACTGTGCAAACATAATATAACATGATGGTAATAGTAAGACTGATAAAATTTCCTGTGAAAATCCAGCAAGGCTTACCAGTTAAGACCTCTAGAACTCTAGGGCTGCTGCTGCTGTTGTTGTTTTGTTTTTTAACACCATTGCCCTTATAGTTCTAGCTCAAGGTTATGTAATGGTATCAAGTCTGTTGCTTCCACTGTGTGGCTTTACTCTGACTACCTACTAATTTCCTGTTCATCCTGCAGCACATCAGGCTTTAGGCCTCTTATGGACCTCCCTTGTGTTCTTTTATTGTGGTAAAATCGATCAACAGTGTTGTTTCTGGTTTGATGTAGTGAGGGTGAGAACCCATTTCTGATGGCAGTGTTACCATTTTTATAATTCATGTGCAAGAGGCTAGCGGAATCAGCTGTTGATGCTGATTACAATATGACTGTGTGTTGCTTGGGGTTTTGTGCTTTTTAGCAAAGGGAACAGTATTTTTTCTCATAACAGGAAAGTAATGCATTTTATGCAGTGAGGTCATTCCATTTTATAATAGTTCTGCAGTTATTTTGACTTTAGATGGTAAGAAAGAGTTTCCTTTGATAGGTTTTTTTTAAGCTGTGGCTATCTTAAGCCCTGTAGTGTTATGAAAAATCTGTTCCTAATACTGCTTTAGAATCAGATACAAATAAGCACTCAGATACAAACCATCCAGATTGCTGTTATTACCATCCTGCTCCTTGCGACTGTCCTGTATCCTCAGGTTAATGTTGCTGATCCTCAGAAGGCTTGTTCCTCCATGGCTGTGTGATATACAGTCAAGCAGCAGAGCTGTGAAGGGAAAACATAGCCAAGAGGTAGTGACAGCTTCGGTTTTTCTAAAGGCTTGCATAGACCTTTGAGCTAAAGAGCTGAACAACAAAGTAATAGCCACACTGTGCTATGAGTTGGGACGTTACAGCATCACACAACTATAGGAGGATGTCCTTGCAGTGGCCAGTTGCCATTAGAAGGCAGTCATGTCCTCTTCTGCAGTGCTAGGCAAAGCAGGAGCTTCCCTTTCAGCCTGTCCTTCTCAAGCAAGGAGTTTTACAATCACCAGAGCTATAAGATGATGGTTTGGCCCTTGCTTTCCCCCGTGCCTGTACACTTGTTGTATAGCCTGAGAAAGTCAGGCAGCCAAGGTAGCAAGGCACAGGAAGCAACTCCAGCAGCGATCATTACTTCTCTTCCACAGTGTAGCAGGGTTTGAGGAGCAGCCTGTGTGCCCACACGTCTCCATCTGTGCCCACACATCTCCATCTGTGCCCACACGTCTCCATATGTGTCAGCACCACCTTGTATCCCAAAAGTGTGCATCCTGTTACAGATACTTAAACCTTCTAGAGATGAGAATGTGCTGGTTTCTCAGGCAGGAAATCTTTAGAGCAGAGGAGGTGGAAATATCAGGGAAATGCTGTTGGACCTATAGCCAGCAGAGAGAATATTAAGGAAGAGTAGGGGGGTAAGGAAGCATTGTGCAGCCTTCTGCTAAGCCTCTCTTTGGATGTCAACAGAAGAACCTGTCAGAACCAGAACGTACGTGACACCCTACCGAGTGATATCTAGAATAGGTGCCTTCCCTTTGCACCTCACTGACACCAGCGTAAAGACTTTGAATCTTTAACACTCTAAAAAGAGTAAAAGAAGAACAAGGGTTTTTGCTGTTATTAAGACAATAGAATATGATACACACTTCTCAAATTATTTCAGCATTATTTCCCAACATTTCTGGAGGTACCTTGATGCTCACTTCAGGCTGTGTGATTGCTGTATATGTAAGCTAGCAGGTCTTCAGAGTGAGCTGAGAAGTCCGACAAGCTTGGGTAATTAGCTGTCAGAAACCTCTGCCTGTGTGGTTTCTCTGTCCTGAGTATCTCGGTGTGTTTGTAGATGCTACATATTTGCTTCTGACTGCAATGCACACATAGCCAGAGAAGCAGTTCTGATTCTTTCCAGTTGCCAAGAACAACATCAGAACAGTTCTCATCAGTTTTTTGACAGGTTTTCTTTTATGGCAAAGCTGCTAAAGAAGATCCTGCAGCTGTGCTGATACAACAGCACATGGACTGCCCTATGCTCTATTGGATTTAAAAGGGAGTGATCTATAAACCAGATCACTGAAATGATAGGACCTTTGTTTTTTGGATGGGTATTTTTAACCCATATTGTACAACTGGTACATTTTACTGTCTCTACAGACAGTTGTATGTGTTCATATTGGGAAGGAAGGGGAAAAGATAATTTCTGACTTTCTGACTGATGTAAAGCTGTGCCCACAGAAAGAGAATACATTGGAAATATGATGGCTTACAATTCTGAAAGCCAATCCGGGTATTTAACAGATGAGTAATTATTGCATGGGTTCAAAATACCAGTATTTCATGGGTTTATGGAACACGAAAATTTGCAACAGTAAGCGATGTCTGCTGACTGAGGTGATGGCAGAGCAGTAATTTTGAAATATGTAACAGTGGGATTCAGCACATATGTGAAAATAACCTTTCTCTGTGTCCTTTAGCACCACTGACTGGAATGGAATATTATGTTTGGATCCAAGGGACAGAGTCAGGACACCAATACTTAACTGTTGCCTTGAGAACTATACCATGAGTGTGAAATAGTACTGTGCCTCTTAAAATGTCTGAGATTTGGACTACTGGTTTAAAAAGCAAAAAAGTAATATATTTAATGTGCAGTCAGCTGCCATACCCATTTGGAATTTTTAAGATACTTTATTATTAAGTAGAGAACTGAATGCAAGACATGTTACTGAAATTATTCACTTTTTTTTTTTTTTTTGTTTAAGGGTGAGCCGGGAAAACCAGGAGAACAAGGATTGACAGTAAGTACTCTTCCATTTTGCTAAGAAACTGTAACAGTAACATGACATATACACTCTTTAAATGCAAAATTCTGAAAAGCTTTATAGCTGTGTATTTCCTAACCTTCCTTTGTCACAGACTATCTGAAGCCTCATTTGTGAAGAAAACATGAGAAAGACAACACACTCTTAATACATACAGGCACCTGTCATATAAGGCCAACTTATTCTTTAAGCTTGCAGAAGTAGAGGGAAATAAAATAGCTAAGGGCAGTGTAAGCCAGAAAGAGCCTAGCCAGGTGTTCCCAGTTCCTGGCCTCCACTTATCACTGTCTCTGAACTTGAGCTGTTTCCACCTTGAGACCACTGAGCAGCACAAGAACCATCTACTTGTTTTGAGGGCCAAAATCCCAGCTGTCTCTGTGGCAATAGCTCTGGCCCTTTGCCTGATGGAATAGTGAAGATAGAGTACAACATACTGAAACTCTCAGAATATTCTCCTCTCCTGAGGTTTGGTTTGTTGTTTTTTTTTTTTCCTCTGTGTGTGTGAGAATGTAACAGCCAAATCAATGCATTTTTTTACACATACTCAGATATGGGAGTAGATGTTTTCTCTTGCATCAGGAACTAATTAACCCTATTCATTTGGAAGCAAATTGAAGCTCCACTGGTTATAAATCAGCTTCAGCCACAGCATAAGGTATCACAAGTTTCTGCTTGTCACATATTCCCAGAACTGTGAAACATGCGGTGTTGGTTTTTTTCCCTTAAGATCTCCCTAAACACTCGTGGTCATTCTTATTTTTATGAGAGATGACAGAACTGTAGCCCATGGCATGTGGTTTTGATTCCTCAGTGCTTCTGAGGAGGAAGATTATATGGTCAGCAATCAGTGCAGATTTGATTGTTATCTGTTCGAATTTATGAAATTTTATACAGGTGTGATGATATTTTACCTTGACAAATTGCAAAATATTTTGAATTGACAAAATCCAGTATCTTTTAGAAGAAAAAAACAAGGATTCTGACACTCAGAAATGCCTGCTTGATCAGGCAGTTAAAGTCCTGTACTTTTTCATTTTGAGATAATGATTTAACAAAACCAAAATCAAAGCCTCCCAAAGGTACTGCCTAGTGTTTTAGCATGCTTCCAGCCTCTTTTTCATTCTGTCTTCTTGGTTTCTGAGGGCCTGTCAATAATAGGTGCAATAGCTGGAAAGGGACATTTTTTGTTTGTTTTATTTTATTTGGAATATTCTCCTATTTGACATCTGGACAAAACTCACCTAGATTCTGCAACAGTGTCTTCCTTCTATTCAAGACCAGATCTTTACGATCACAGAATCCCTGAGGGCTTTTAAAGCAAAACCTGGTCTGTCTCCTTCTAGAGTCCATGTTCAGAAGATTCCTGCTGCTCTAAAGTAGCCGTCTGTGTGTAAGAACTAAAAAACTGCTACTGGTCTGTTTCTCTAAATGCAAATGTGTTTAAATAGGGAGAAAAGGTGTTTTAAAATCAAATCAGCAAGACTGAGTTGGGGAAAGATTCCAGCTTACATTAATTTCCAGTTCCAAATACCTGCTCTAAAAGTCAGTCTGATGGCTTAAAGGTTAGGTCGTGTATAGATCAAGTAAAGAGCATCAGAGTATCAGGGAGGTAATTAATTTCTTTTTATGCTTCTTGGTGCTTCTGACACACTCCTTATGCCAGTACAGATTTCCAGACTCTCTTCCCTGTGGAAAGTGCTACAATTATTCAGGTGTTGTCTAGATGCTTCTGACATATTCCATCATGCATTTCTGCACTCTTTCTATTTCCGTATTGGAAATATGGAAATAAAAGACACTACTGCAGAAATAGCTGAGTTCCCAGCAGGTATGCTGTAAAATTGTGTTGCTAGAGAAAATATGTGTAGTCTTCTGTGGAGCACATAGGCCTCTGCCTACCTGAGATTCTCTTTCTGCATTATCCAAGTATTATCTTTTCAAAGTAAATGAAAATAGAGATCTCTGCCAGAGTTTCTTCTAGGTTAATTCTGCAGGAATTCTTTTGTAAGGACTTGCCTTTGTTTCACACCAAGAGTCTGAAGTCCAAGTTATCTTCCGGATTTTTCTTCCTGGTGACACTGAAATTGTGAAGTCGATGAGTCCCATAAAGTACTACCAGTCCTGGTCTCCCAGAGGTCTACTTGTTGGGGTGTACTGTGGTTTCCTACTTGCCCACATGTCCAAGGCCTTTTCCAGTAAGAAACAAGTATATGGCATGTACTCTGGTTCTTTGTCCAGGATGGAGGCAGATAACAGCCAAGCACAGCACCAGATGCTGTGAAACAATCCCTACAGTTTGGATGTAATTGCTGAAGGTTGTGGAAGCTGAAGGCTATTTGTAGCATATAGGATCACACTCTCAGCAGCTTTAAATATCATGGTGCTGCTCAACTGAAGAACTTCAAGCCTGACCTCTACATTATAATAACGGGCATAGAGGTTTTTCTCTTTCAAAGGCATTTTTAATTGTATTTGGTAACATACCTTGATATTTCTAGATGAATGTCAGGTTATTGATAGAGCTGGTAAACTCAGTTTTAACTTGTGAACCAACAGTGGCACAGCTTGAAATTACTTATTTTTCTATTTTCTCTTCTTACAAGAAGAGGAAAAAATTTGTTGAAGAGCAGAAGATAGTAGATAATGAGATAAGAGAGTTTTCCAGCTTGTGTCTCGGAATGTACCACAAGGCTATTAACATGATGAGTAATTTGTGACCTACTCAAACAATGCGTGCCTTGATTCACAAAAAGTTGAAATAATTTTAATGCATTTGGAGTTCAAGAACGTTTGCATTCTTTCAGTGAAATAGGAAGTCTAGTGAAGACATGGGACTTTACTCCAACTGAGAATCTGCTACCATGTTCTTCTTAATTTTTAATGACATTCTGTGTCAATAAAGAAAAAGAACATCATGTTTCAGATGATGTTGTGAGAGAGGGCAATAATAATCTTTCTCCTTCTCAGGCAGGGGAGCTTTCTTGCACCATATACAGAGAATTACAATGTTTGAGTTCTCTGGCATGACTTCTACTTTGGCATGAGAGAGCTCAACCTTAGTTGAGCTTAGGTGCTCAAGGGAAATTTGCCTTGAGGATGGGGAATGGCTTGTCTTTTTCCCAGCTGCTGATGTAAGTATGTGAGAGTTGGGGCAGGGTGGTGGGAGGAGAAGTTTAGGAAAGCTACTTGTTGCTTACAGGGGTCTCATTCCCTGCTGAAAATCTTTCCAGATTGTCTACTGCCAGTGTGCTTCTATTGCACTTCTATTCTTGTGGTTGAAAAGTTTGAGAGCTGTTTGCAAGGGTTTTTTGGCTCTATATGTTGCTGTGTCAGGAAGAATCTGTTTTCTGTTTGAGCCAAGAGAGTTCAATTTCTTTTTAGGTGACATGGAGGCTTAGGTTTAAGTTAGAAAGGTGTGACTGAATGCATCTCTAATATTAGAAGGGAATGCAAGAATGATTAGTTACTTGCAATTTGTGTCTGGTTTTCATGGCACTTGAAAGCCCTGCACATCTACTTTCTACAAGAGTTGAGGGCATCATTTCTCTGAGCAGAAAGGATTAAGAGAATTCTGAGGGAAGCCAAGCAGTGGGGCCACCAAAGGGATTATGTTTTGAAATGTTGTGGAACTAGCAAATGTATGCTGTGAAAGAGGGAAGTCCAGTAGTTTCATCAGCTTTTCAAACTTACCAATAAAGTTGTGTCCTGCCTCTCATAATTTATCCTCCTTCCTATGCCATTTGTTTGTTCTTGCTGGCATAGAAGAGATTTTATGGTTTATCTTCTAATTTTCAGAATGAATCATAAATGAATTATGAATCATAAATAAATTGTGATTCTTTTCTACCCAGGAGCTAGGATTTCTGTTTGCAGACTATTCATGAGAATTTAAAGTGAGTTGGTGATGGGAAATATCAAAAGCTGGCAGTGACAGACATTTTCATAAACTGCAATAGGATAGAAGGTGTGCGTGGAGTGTTTTTGTTTCTAATTTCCATGTGGAAGAGGTTTTGGTGCTTTTATGTTTAGAGTATTTTAAACTAGTGCATAGTAATAAAAATTTGGAAGATCAGAATTTGCAGTGTTTTCAGCTCCTTGGAAAAGAAGTAAATTTAAACATGTTCAGTGTATGAATCAACCACTTCTTGTCATTGAAAAAACTCCATATATTATTTTATCCCCCCAAATTGGCTTTAAAGACATATAAGTAATTTTACAGATGTTTGCAAGAGCAGAATACTCCAGAATAACCAGAGAATTCAGGTAAAGGTGTCTCTTTGCAAAAGAAATCTATACTATAATGACCAACCCAAATGCAAAATCCCTCTGCTTTAAGATATATTGTTTTCCAAACTAGTAGTTTTGTGCTTATACAGTCTTGCTGGGCATCTGTTCAAGAAAATAAGACCTAATGTTACTGCTTTTACTAGTTATTCAGAATAAGAAGGATGTTATTCCAAAGGATATTGCCATGTTGTGAAAGACAGTGGAAAAGCGTAACCTTGCAGTTAAGTCTGCAAAATGTCACATCTTTAAAATGAATCAATGTTAATTTTTTCATCATAGGTAAAATGAACAAAAGGAACTCACAGAGACCGGGCAAAACTGACTGGGAAGTGTTGCTGGCTTCAATTCAGCCTTGCAGGCCAGTGATTAAGACCAGATCCTCAGCTGGTGTGAATCTTCGTAGCTCCTCCAGGAAATTACTAATTGTGATTTTGTTTTCAATGGCCAGACTTCTGCAGCAGTCTTCTTTGTTTTATTCTGGTAGCATGTTCATAGTAAATTTTGTAAGGTGTTCTTAAGCTGCTTAGCTGCAAATGTTTGTTAAGAACTAGCAGATGAAATGGAAGTTCTCAGCCCTTGCCTCTCACAGAAATTTTTTTTCCCCCGATACAATTGCATTAGCCTTAGCTTGCAGGAAATCTCAGGAAAATACTCTTTGGCATCTTGTAACCTCTGTACTTCTGTAATGG